CAAAAATAAATAAACGTTGAAAAAAAAAATTAAAAAAAAAAAAAAAAAAAAAGCATGCTGTCTTGTGGCCACATGATAATACTCCACAGCTCTTACCTAGTCTTTTCCTTCTTTCCTTTGGAATAACTTTTAGAATGTTTTATGCCTGTGGATTTCTCTCTCTATTATCTATTTATCTAAATATCTATCTATGTTATCTATCATTTTTTACTATTACACCCGTACTCCAAATAATGGATGGGTTATTTGGGGGAGAAAGTTCATTTTCTTTTATCATATTTCTGTTATGAATTCCATATACTAGAATCATTGTCAAGATTTACCTGGTGGATGGGCCCATGAATTTTGGTATCAATTCTCACATAGCTGTGAACTTTAAGATACTGAACTCTAAGCCACCAAATGTGTGTATCTGCATATGTGTGTGTATATATGTGTACATATGTAGATACTATTCATGTAGTTATAGGTATGTGAAGTGAGTAGTATGTCAGATGACTTCAATAAATGTTAACTATTTTTTTATTTTCTATGAAGTTGTTTTAATACTTCTTTTGTTAAAATTCCCATACAAAGAAACATTGATATCTGGAATATGAAAGGTTTTACCTTTTTCCTATTATTTTCATCAAAAAAAATATTAGTCACATCACAATCTTCATTTGTTTTCAATTCCTGTTCCCCACTCATACGTTTAATTTTATCTGAGTATATTTCTTTATCTTCCTTAAGCTTAAAATTCCATTGATCAGAGACAAAAATAGTAACCAAAAATTCCCCTTTCTGATTTTGTTTTGTGTGCTCCAGTCCTTACCTAGGGATCATACTTTCAGAGTAAGAGTGCTTCTTGACATTAAACATTTCATAGAAGTTTGGACACCAATAGTTTTAGTTTTGGGAATTCTGCAGATTCCTTTTCTTTTTCCCCAAAATACTGATGTTTTTACGTAAGCGGAGCTGTCTGTTGACCTTAAAAATGCTTTTATCATCAGCAATGACATTTAGAGACTAAATTGTCTTGCATGACAGGAAAATATGTGATATTTAGTTTTTTTTTCTATTATTTAACTTTAAAAACAATTAGTTTTGCATAGTGATTTTATTCAATCTTCCCTTTCTAATGAAAGAAGATATTGAGAACTAATATCTTTCCTCTACAATGACTGCATCCACATTATATTTCAAAACAGGAGTTAACTGTAATTTTCCAAAGAATTTCAGAAGCTTCTAGTATTGTGCTACATATAATCATGCAACATAGCATTTCTGTTCTGCTATACGGTTTGCAAAACATCCTCAAGTACATATAATTTGTACGAAGAAAATAATTTTTAAAAGACTGAAAATGTTCAGATCACACCCTCTTAGCTGATGATATAAGGATGATTATTCTGGCTTCCTTTTGGGAATCAGTTCTCTAAGAAAAAGGAGTAATTGCTAATATTATTTTGCTTCTATAGCCCATCCTTGCAGACAACACCATTTTAACTCATTTCTTTCTATGTGAAATATCAAGAATAGTTATAATAACAGGTCATCAACTATCACATGCATTATAAGGAGTGGCCCCAGGACATAAAGCATTAATCTTATAAATTTGAAAATGATTATACAACTTGATTGCAAATGTTGACCTCATAATATTTGGAAAACTGAGACACAGATAATCCACAGTGTGCAAAGACAAATGCTTACTTAAGCTATCCCCTGTTGCCTGAGATGAAGTGATTAGTGAAATATGGCTGCACTTAACTGTTATGGTGGGCGAGGCCTATAGGAATAAGGGATTTGTTGATTACTTCTGATTGTACTGGAGAGTTTACTGAAAAGTAATATGAGGTTTCATTGTTAAATTATAAGATCAAGGTCTAATCAGAGAATAAGTTAGTTTCTGTGATGACACTAAATAAAAACAAAATATAGTCTTACAACAGAAGTAGAATTCCAAGCTTCATCCAGTGACTTATGTGAAATATTATTTGGTAAGAACTGGGGACTTGCAAATAGTAATTGAAGACATTTATTTTAATTTTCTTAAGTTTATTTATTTATTTTGAGAGAGAGAAATAATTCAAGCAGTGTAGGAGTAGAGAGAGAGAGAGAGAGAGAGAGAGAGAGAGACAGAGAGACAGAGAGCTAGAGAGTATCCCAAGCAAACTCCACACTGTCAGCACAGAGCCCGACATGGGACTCAATCTCACAAACATGAGATCATGACTTGAGCCAAAATCAAGAGTTGGACACTTAACCGACTGAGCCATTCAGGTGCTCCAATAATGAGCAAATACTTCAGTTTAAATATAAAGGATATTAGGAAGCTTATCAGATAGTTGAGATGAAAGGGGACAGAGAAAAATTCAGTATAGAAAAAAGTAAAATCAAGATAGAATCTAAATTATCGGGCATATTCTCTGTATTCATTGCTCTTAGGCTTTGCATATTGCATGACCAGTACTCCCATTTGTCAGTGAGCAGCCACGCTAAAAAATGGTGTCTATAATTTTTTGCTGCCTCTGTGTTCATTTCCTGATGAGCACATAGTTCCTAAATTTCATTTTTAAAATACCTATATTGCATGGACACTCCTGAGATCTTCCTAGTGGTGAAAAGGCACCGAGATGACTTTGATATGAAATAATACAACTTCTTACTAAGTTTTTTTCTCCTCTCTGATTTCAGCTTTTAGAGTCAATAACTTCAATGCATCAGAAAGCCACAGAAGTTTTTCTTTCTTTCTTTTTCTTATTAATATAGTATTTGTCTTCCCTCTGTCAAACTGACCCAGCCACTTTCCCCAGGGTTCCTGGGAGGTATAGAAAAAGGAACATACAGGGCAGACAAGACATGGGAAAAAGACCTATGGGAGGTGGAGAAAGCTCCTTCACATGGCAAAGAGGATGAGAAAGGCCACCATCAGGCAAAAGAGCCCCATGACCTCCGAAAGAGTAAAGCCCAGAATGGCATAGGAGAAGAGCTGTTGCTTCAGAGAAAGATTCCTGGCATAACCAATGATGAGGATTCCAAACACGGTCACAGTCACAGTCACAGTCACAGAACCAGCCACTATTACCAAGGCAGACCCAGCCCCTGTGAACTTGGCTGCTATATCAATGTCCCTTGAAATGGCACTGGTTTGGAAGCTGTAGCTAGGAGTAAATGAGATCAGGGGACATGGGGTTGCCAAGCTGCTGAGGCTCTTATCTGTCAGTGTCTCTGGTGGTTTTAGCACCACTGCAGACAGTGATCCGCTCAACAGCTGAGTAGTGCTCCTGACCAAGAAGGGGGTAGAGAAGGACTTTGCATGGGTGTACATTTTCAGGGAATGAGGTACTATGGCAGGAGAGATGCTCCTAGTGCAGAGAAGACAGTCAAAGTAGTTTTTCTGATTCACATTAATCTGACAAAAAGGAGCAACTCCCTGCTATTAAGGGGCAGGCACTCAATAGCACCTTTACAGTCTTAGAAAGTCTCAATATTATCAGGTAATTAGGCATTCAGGGAATTCTTGCTGTATATGTCAGGTTTAGAAATATTCCATTTTTTGTAGTTACCTGAAGATGTAGACACCTTTTTGACTTTGTAATTGTATGGTCATGCATTCTGATTTTTTCCACAATATGAAATGTTCCCTGTGGTGCTTATTCTAAACTATCAGTGATGATGACCACAATGGACTGACAGTTACTTTTGTTTACCATTAAAATCCCCACAAATGGAGAGAGCTTTGCATAGACTATTTAGAAATTGCTTAGCAAGAGCCTTCCCAATTAAATAATTTTAAATTGTACATTCTTACTGTCAGGCTTTAAAACCTACAAACAAAATGCTGCATTTGATTCACAAAATATATACAAATGGTAATGGTGGTGGTAGAGCAGTGTGAAGCAGCCTGCCTTGTCTTTTATATATCTATAAAAATAGGAGAAATGAGTAAATATTTTAAAAAGATTTGAAATTTAGCAAGTGACATTTATTACTTCTGCTTTGCATTCACCATCGTCTGCAAATGTGAATAAAAAGATCTATGTGCAATAGAAAATATCTGTAGTTCACTTGTCAAATGAAGGAGCAGAGGAACTTTTACTAAGATCTAGCTAAGGGTGTCCAAATGCAATTCCACTGAAGACTGCTTCAGTCATCATTTTCTCAAGCCAGGTTCAAAAGGGTGAAGTCAGTTTTTCAAACAAAATTTTAATTATTGCATATGCCCTTTCAAGTCAGTGAAAAACAACCACCTTTCCACTCATCAAGTAATTGTGTTCAATGTCTACAGAGGACACCAGGCTCCAATAGTTCTAGCTGATATACGGACACGTTGTGCTAGTGTTGAATAATGTTCTTATTTTGGATGTGTCAAGGCCAAAGTAGCAAGCTTAATTTAAACATATAGCAAAGCATCAGTTTGTTTTCATTTTAAAGTAGAGTTACCAAATTGAAGACCGTTACTATAATAAAACTGTTAAAACAAATTGACAGTCAATATTCTTAAACTTTAATTTGATTAATCCCACTCTTAGCAATTGCGCTATTGCATTATGTATGATCCTTGGTTATGCAATGAAGGAATGAGTAGAGAGTTTCCATGAGTAAATTTTTAACTTCATATTGAACTTTGCAACATATCAGTACTACTTAGAGATTCTATGTTCAATAAATGCATTATATTATTGTATTTGTCATGACTAAAAGGATGATGTGAACATTCCCAGGTTTATATAACTATAACTTTAAAGGTATAAATAAATAACCTGATTGTATAATGAATAATCAGAAAATCTTTAATTTTAAATACAGTTAACTAATGTTCTTAATCATACTGTAGACTAGTAAGTAATTTGATTTAACAATAGCAAGAAAAATAATCTTAAAAAGTAAATAAGAAATCTGTTTCTTAAGTGATCAGAGTAACTTTTATCCTTAAAAATAACCAGTATATGAATCTGTCATACTATAGTTTGTTAGTTAATATTGATTTATAATGATAGGAAGGAAATAATAATATAAGTAATTCTCAGATGCTAAAGTGACATGTTTATCATAATTATATTCATAAAAATAATATGATGCCTCTGAACTAATTGGGTACTCTTAGGATATTATATTTTTAATCATATATGCCATTTTCTGTATTTGATAATATAATATTTACCCAGTTTAATAAATTACTGTCTATTCAGAAAAAATAAGTGTTATTTCACAAAGGCCTAAGGCAATTGTATCAATATGAATATTTTCAACTTCAGAGCAATGATTCTGACAGATTAGAAGAGTAAATTCATATAATAGAGTGTCATGATCCAAATAAAATCTAATCACTTAGGGTAAAATTATACCCTATCTACAGAAGGAAGACTAGAATCTTAAAGCACTATTCTTATGAAAGTTAATTTACTTTCGGTGTGATTTTTGTATTTATCTTTTTCAGCATATTACTGAACTAATGGAAAACAAAACCGATGTGTGGGATGATTAGTTACAGTTATACTACATTTGCCTTCAAATTATGGATCTTTGAAAAAATAGACTGGTGTGCAATAAATTGATTTTCATGTCTTTTTGGCATCCTTTATTTAATAATTTGTGTTTTCCATTGATATATGACTTTGTTACTTAAGTTTTTTAGTTTTAAATCAATAAGCATATTAAAAAGAAGAAGAAAATAAACAAGTGTTTGAATTAAGCATCAACACTGTCTGTTTCTATTATCCCTTGCTTTTGTAATGTCACCCGAGCTTCTCCTAGTTCAGCAAATTAATACAATGATATTTTCTGGGCTTACTAGATAAAATATAGATGTAAATAAAATATCTTAGTTTAGAGATGTTTCCAGATTGGCTATAAAGATACTCGAAGGAAATAAACTCATCTTCAATAAATCTAGAGAGACAGATAGGTAGGTAGATGGATAGATAGATATGGATGGAGATAGATATATCTAAACTGACCATTCATAGCAGCTCAAGTTATTTGTAATATATTCTGTTATATACGTGTCTATATTTAGTAAAGGCAATATTTTAGGTTGAAAGGAGATAGGGCTAAGTCAAAATAAAAGCAAAGATGTAAAAGAGTAATCCATTGGTGGTCTAATCTTGAAATGTGAACAAGGTGAATGTGAGGGCCAGGTCAAGGCTTTTTGCCTAGTTTTATCATGGGTAAAATTAAGCTGTATAATACTGTGTATGGGAAATAGAAATGAAAGTTGACCTGTGTGCACAGAGTATTTTTCCAATTAGTAAAGCCAAATAATTCTTTGTTTCTTTGTCTTTGAGAGGTTGGTCACCTTGGTAACAGTGAATACCAAACCCAGACTTTGGCTAATTATTAGATAATTGCATAGTTGCCTACAGCATCTCCATAAACCTTAAGCATGTCTGACCCTTTGCTTTCAAGCCTATAAGTATGGCCTACTGTGCTTACATATACTCCTATCAATTGCATAGTGATAAGGAAACAGAAAAATCATACAGAGTGCTTTTGCTGGGTCAGGTGATAATAGTTCCAAATGAGTACCTTGAGCACCTTCATTCCACTTCACACTGTATGTTCAATTCATAGATGCTTGGCCTTGTATACTTTCTATGTTGTCAGCATTCTGGGAAGCAAATTGATATCTTGGTTAGAAATGGTCAAATTGAGTGCCATCTGTTACAGTGAAGGACAACTTTCAGGCTAACTTTTATTGAGTGTGAGTTGGAGTTTTCATTATAGTAGCAAAGTTGAGAAGCATTTCTAATAGGCCCAAGGGGTAGTGTTTTTCTAATACTATTTTTCTTATTTTTTAAAAAAGTTTATTTATTTATTGGGAGGGGGGAGGGCAAAGAGACAGAGGGAGAGAGAATCCTAAGCAGGCTCCATGCTGTCAGCACAGAGCCAATGCAGGGCTTGATCTCATGAACCATGAGATTATGACCTGAGCCAAAATCAAGAGTTGAACACTTAACTGACTAAGTTATCCAGGCACCCCATTTTTTCTCAATTTTTATAGGTTCTTCCCTCAAAAATTGTTGTAAATGACATGTGTAAGAATTTTTTTTTCAAACTGAATTGGCAGAAAATAATTGCCCATCAAAGTAGAAGAAAGGCTGTCTAACAGACATATTCTCAGAAATCAAAGAACTAATATGTTAATTATCAAATGATAATGTGTAGAACATCTAGAGTGAAGCTCTATAGAAAAGTTGTTAATAGCATTTGATCAACTTAAAAAAAAATGTCCTTGCTTATCTCATTGACATTCATGCTTATATTTGGTACTCTGTTGTGGCACTATTTCTATAATGGATTACCATCTTATAAAATACAAACAATTTTTAATTTTTTGCTCATTTATTTATTTATTTTTTAGAGAGAGAAAGAGAGCACATGAGTAGGGGAGTGAGAATCTTAAGCAGGCTCTAAACCCAGTATGGAGCCTGATATGGGGCTCAATCTCATGACCATCAGATCATGATCTGAGCTGAAATCAAGAGTTGGATGCTTAACTTACTGAGCCACCGAGGTGCCCCACATAAAATTTTTTAAATAAGCAAATAATAGAACAAAATGTAAACTAAGAATCCTAATCTGATAAACACTATCTTTGAGTCAAGTTTTTTTCAAACTTGGTGAAGCATTTTAAATATCTTTCATACACCCTTTTTGCCATATAGGGAATCCTACATGTAACTTTACTTGTTTAGAAAGAGAAAAGTGTCCTTAGTCCATTTCTTTAGTAAGTATATTTGAAACCAATTTCAAATAAGTAAACATGAACAGAGTTCTTCAAGTTCTATCATAGATCCTGCTTCTTTGCAATTTATGCTGTAAGATCTTGGATTGGTAGTTTTTGACGAGGTGTGATATGTGGAGTCTGTTATGATGTAATGTTCCCAGTCCCAGGACCAATCCTATATGAACAACACAAAACTAAATAAACACAATTAAAATAAAGGAAAATATGTCTGATGAGACCATTGGACATCTTTCATAATTCAATCCTTTTTAATGTGATACAAAGCAATATACTTTATTCATACATACTTACAAATTGCATAATTGTGTGACCTAACATCTTCTCTGGAAGACCTTTATTCACTTTCTTCTGCTAACAATCACTTCTTTGTTGGCCTATCCTTCATATTTATAATAATTTTAATGCTTTTTGTTTTTATAACTAATATGTGAGAAGGAAGATAATTTTTTTAAGATTGAGAATGATGATATGTTTGATGCTAAGGAGGTAGGAGAAAAAATGGGGAAAATGTTTTTTGTTTGCAGGCAGCTTAATTTTGTTACTTACCTTCATGGAAAAAATCAGAATAAGTGTAGGGTAAACTATGCAAATGAT